GTTAGAGAGCCGAGAGCTTGAAGGAGAGATGGCTGGGAATTTTAAAGGGCTTCAATTTAAGGGGATTTAGGTGGCTATAGGGTGGCTGTAGGTGGGCTGAAAAGGAGCTGGTCAGGAGGCTGGCAGGGGGCTGATCGGGAGGCTGACAGGGGGGCAACAGCGACGCCGTACCAACCCTTGGTTTCTGTCTCATTTCTTTTTTTTTTTAATTTTTAATTTTATTTAATTTTTATATATTTTAAATATTTATTATTATTAATAATATTAGTATTAATATACTTAAAATGAAAATAGTAGATCCGAACAAAATCGGTATCTACAACACTCAACAGTAATTTATATAGTTTTTTTATTTTTTAAGATCTGTTATGATTTCTTTTTCATAGAAGATCATATCTTTATTTCTGACTATCTTTTTATTTACTGAATCCCATACTTTGTAGCCAAAATTTTCATCATCATGTCCTATAAACACACACTATGTGGCTTTACTGTCAAGGTTTGACTTTTGCTCTTTTGGCACATGCATAAATACTTTATATTAAAAACTTTTCAAGTGAGAATATGAAGTATATTTTCTTATCCACACTCTTTTTAGAATGTCAAAGATCAAAAGAATTGATGGTGCTTTGTTAATTAAATAACAAGCTGTATTAACTACTTTACCTTAAAATAGCTTTGATAATTTTGTCATCCTCAACATACATCTGACTTTTTTCACAATAATGCGGTTTATTCTTTTAGCTACACGAGTATGCTATGGTGTTCCAAGTTCTATCATCTTATACTTGATCACATATTTTGAACAATATTCTTTAAAGTCTTTGAATGTGTATTCACTAATGTTATCAATTCGAATACATTTCAAAGACAACCTTATCATTCTTTTTCACCATAGCATGAAATTTTTGAAAATACTATAATATCTGACTTTTATTTTTCAATATGTACACCCAAGTCTTACATTAAGTATCATCAATAAAAGTAACAAAATACCAACTATTATCCAATAACTTAACCTCAATAAGACCACATATATTAGAATGAAACAATTTAAATTTGTTTTTTTTTTTCTTTGAAAACTCTTACTAAAAGAAACTCTATAATGCTTGCCAAATAAACAATGATCACATAAATAAAAAAACATACCTTTTGGTTATGGTAATAAGAGACTATCTTGCCAAAATTTATAACCTTTTCTCAGTTACATGTGCTAGCCTATTGTGCTATATATTTGTTGAATCATCATCCTCAATGGTTTTTATCTAGTTATCATTCAATTGCATCAATGTCTTATACATTGTGTAGCATAGTTTTCTTTTTATAACTACCATAGATCATTTGAAAAGCTTCCACTTTTTATTTTTTTGTTGACTTTAATATCTTTTTCTATCAAGGACATTAATAGCAAGCAAATTCATTCTTATATCCGAAATGTGTCTGATATCCCTCAAAATTAATATACAGCCTATATTAATTTGTACAATAATATCACCAATTTCAACAATCTGTGACATACTCTTATTTTTCATCTTGATGTAACTAAAGTCTCTTGCTTTATAAGTTGTAAACAAATCTTTCTTAGGAACATAATGATATGTTGCTCTTATGTCAACTATCCACTCAATGTCAAGATCATCAACATGATTACAATCACCGTGTATACAAATCAAAGTAATTGAATCATTATCTGAATTTATTGCTACAACATTGCCATCATCTGAACTCTTATTTTTTTCATCATTTCGCTCTTGCTTTAAGATTTTACAGTATTATTTTATATGGCCCAATTTACTACAATGAAAGCACTTTACTTTATTTTTAGACTTGGATCTATATTTAGACTTACTACTATCTTTTGAGTTTTAACCTCTATCGATATTTTTATCCCTATTCTCTGTGACAAGATCTTAATTCCTAGGATCTAAATCTTTTCACCTTGCTTCTTCATTAAGCATACTATCTTTTACCATCTATAATATCACCTTGTAATCATGAGCTGAATTAAGAATAGTCACAACTAGAGTATTCTAACTGTCTGGTAATTAACCTAAAAAAATAACGTCATTTTATCATCCATCTTAAGCTTTATAGTAGCCATCTTATTAAATACATCTTGAAAACCACTCAAATGCTCTGTGATCGATTGTCCATCATTGTACTGTAAAGTTGCATTCCTTTTAACAAACATAACTTTATTCATGCATGTTTTCCTCTCATACAATACTATCAATTTTTCTTAAACAATGCGGGTATCTGTCTCTTATGTTACATGATATAACACACCAATATCAACTTATTTTCAGATTGTAACTAGCATTTTTCTGTCTAGCTTCTTTCAATTTTCATCTTTCGTATCTGCTAGCTTAGCTGAATCACAAATACCTACTCATACAAATCTTTACAATATAAATGATCCTCCATCATAGGCTTTCAAATTGAATAATTTAATGCTGTCAATTTTATCATGAAACTTGTATCACCTTTCATGATCTCAAACAGAATTTATTTCTATCCTAAGTTGCTTCCGTATCGATGTCTCAAAAATAATTCTCGTTATGATACTATTTGTTGGGTCTGAAGTGACAAATACAATAATGCAGAAATAATATATCCCAATAAACCTACATCAATAGATAACAATCAACAACACAAGAAAAATAAAGTACACTAATATTTATGTGAAAAACCTTTCAAAGTAAAGAAAAAAAATCACGAACCACCAAAAAAAAATTTTAACTATCAAATAATAGATGTACAAAATTTTTCTTTAACTAAAACTAGAACTAATCAACAATTATAGATATAATTGAAAAAATCTCACTAAATAGTTGACTTAACAAGGATACTCTAGATTTATTTCAAAAAACTTTAAACTCAATCTCTATCTTTTAAAATGTAAAACATTATATCATGAACATGTTGATAAAATTTTAATTCAATCGAATTACGGATCGATTTTGATTTAACTAACTCTTTCTTCTCTCTTTTTTCTCTATCTTTTTTGACATTTTCTTTTCCTCTTGGTTTTGGTGCCCCCATTCTCATTTTTTCACACCAAAAAATGCCTGTCTTTTTAATATGTAAGGTTCTTATTACACGTTAAGTTAAACGGCTCATGGCCTTTAAATAATCAAAACCAAAAGAATGGGACTGGACTCCGTATTACTAACAATATTTCATTATAAGGATAGAACCTTAATTGCACTTGAATTAAGCTTTTATGAGTATATAAGCATCGAGAGATTATATAAAGATCTGACAGGGAAAATTGTATGAAAACCTTTATTAGTGTGTCTCAGGGATCATAATCGAGTCATTGCCCCCCTTGGGGCTGAAAATCAATGTCCGTGAGTTGTGAGAAATTGAATTATTTTCATTCATGCATGTCACTATATGAAAACAGTTGTGGGAGGCTCCGAAATCATCTTTAAAAAATTCCTAATTTGGTCAGCCCATTTTTCCTATAAATAATAGATAAATAAGTGTAGCAAGTTAAAGGTTTCTTTTTCTATTATGGGATTTGAGAATTGAGAGTAATGGAATTTTACCTATATTGTAAGTCTGTAATACACATCTCTGTAGCCAATAGCCAGTTGACTGAATTGGGAGGCGTCTGATATTATTTGCTATTAATTTCTTCACCTAACTATTACACTGTCCTCTCTATTTAATGCCACAAGAAAAATATTAGTAAGAAGTTACTATGTTTGCATCATCTCTATCTTTTTCTTCTTTCCTTTTCTCCATGGAAAGGTTGAAATTTGTAAAATTATACTTGACCCAAAAAAAAGAGACACTAATCCAATCTAACACTGATCATCTTCCTAAAAACATTTGTTCATACTAGGTGTCCTAAAAATATTTGTTCATACTCGATTAAGATTTATTATTGAAAATCAATTAAATATTAATTCAAATGACATATGTATTAGTTAAAATTTTAAAAAATACATATTTGAAAAAATTTAGTTTAAGAGAAATTAAGGATAGATTACACACCCTTGAAAAAGGAACTTTTTTTTTTCCCAAAACATGCTGGTTTAATTACTTGAACAGGAGTTGACTTCTGGAAGCCTTTCGAGATAATGTAGAGACAGGGAGGGTTACCTCTACTATATTTTGCTATAGGGCCAGTATTAATGCTTGACGTATTTTGATAATATATAATACTTGCCCTAGCTTGACTTGTATGCAGAACAAATCTAAAATTAAGCAGAGCTTTCTTTTCAATAATGCAAGCAAAGTCCATTCCAATTCTTCCATACTTACACCAAGAAACTACTTTCATAATTGAATCAGCATATTTATACCAACACTCAATTCCTAATTATGAGTGTTATTTTGATATAGATCTCATTATCGATATATAGTGAAAATTTCATAGACTCATGGCTCCTTTGTAGGAATAACAATGCAGCAGGGTCATCTTTTTTTTATTTCCCTCCTTATATGTCTCTATTTCTGGCTATCAGCCTCATCCTTCTTAAATGGGGATGACCTTATTGGGCAAGCTGCTAACTGTGAACTATAATGGCTTTCCATTTGTGTACAATAGACTTAATTTGAATTTTTAACACGTTGCCGACCCAAATGAAATAAGAAAAACAAAGTAAAATCAATTAGGAAAATATAGTTTTAGGAAATGGAGTTTTTAAGTCATTAAAGAAACGTTGACAAGGATCGCAATTTGCCTCCTCTTGGCTCTTTGGGTTTAAGCCGGCATTTTTCTCTTTATTCTCTCTCACATATTAAGATAATTTACATTAACTTACAAGATATTATTTATTTTAACTCATTAAATTTTTTTATTTTTTTTATAAAAAATGTTTTATGAATTAAAAATGACGGGAGCACTTGTATCTTAAAAAGATATCTTTAGTATACGACCAATGAATCAGATTCATGACTCTTTCGGACCAAAACAATAAGCTTGCTCAAGGGGTGACAAGTGTTCAGCTTTGTAATAAAGATTCATACGAAATGACACACAAATTCAGTTGGTGGGAGTTGATTGATGGCAGTGGTTCATAAGCAGATTCACGTGTCCAACTCATCAGGGATCTCTCCTTTATAAGGCTTTCATTTGATCTCCTCATCTAACCAAGTTTAGCTAACGCAAGAGGCTCAAAAATTTCCACTCCTCCTCCGTTTCTCTATCTTTTTCTTTGCCTTTTATCGTCCCTTTGTTTTCCCGTCTCCCTTGATTATTTTTCTCTCATGGAGCTGCTCTCCTTGTTGCTGCTTCTTCCAATCCTACACCTTTTCTTCACAATTTGGAAGTGGGTTAATGACAAGAGAGACCAAGAATGTTACATTTTAGACTACCAATGTTACAAGCCAACTGATGATAGAATGGTCGGGACTGAGTTCTGTGGGGAGGTGATAAAAAGGAACAAGAATCTTGGACTCAACGAGTACAAGTTCCTGTTGAAAGCCGTTGTCAGTTCCGGTATTGGGGAACAAACCTACGCCCCAAGAATCATGTTTTCAGGCAGAGAAGAGAGCCCAACATTGGCAGATGGCATCTTGGAAATGGAAGAGTTTTTTTATGACAGCATTGGAAAGCTCTTGTCCAGGGCAGGCATTTCCCCTCAGGAAGTTGATCTCCTAGTCGTCAACGTTTCCATGTTATCTGCAGTTCCTTCTTTGTCTTCTAGAATCATAAATCACTACAAAATGAGGCAAGACATCAAGTCTTTTAACTTAACCGGAATGGGATGTAGTGCAAGTTTGATTTCTCTTGATATTGTTCGCAATGTCTTCAAGTCTTACAAAAACAAGTACGCTTTGCTAGTAACCTCAGAGTCTTTGAGTCCAAATTGGTATGCTGGCAACGACAGATCCATGATTCTTGCGAATTGTTTGTTCCGTTCGGGTGGCTGCGCAATTCTTTTGACTAACAACAAGTCCTTAAGGCATCGTGCAATGTTCAAATTGAAATGCTTGGTGAGAACACATCATGGAGCCAGAGATGAGTCATACGATTGTTGTATTCAAAGGGAGGATGAGAAAGGAAGGGTAGGATTTCACCTTGGCAAAAACCTTCCTAAAGCTGCTACTCGTTCTTTTGTTGACAATTTGAGGGTGATTACCCCAAAGATCCTGCCTGTTAGGGAACTACTTCGGTTCATGATAGTGTCAATTGTTAAAAAATGGAACCGACATGGTTCTCCCAAGGGAACTACTCAGGGACGTATTAAAGCTGCGGTGAACTTCAAGAGTGGAGTGGATCATTTCTGCATCCACACAGGAGGGAAAGCAGTGATTGATGGGATTGGGATAAGCCTTGATCTCACTGAGTATGATCTGGAACCGGCTAGGATGACCCTGCATCGATTTGGCAACACTTCTGCTAGTAGTCTTTGGTATGTTTTAGCATACATGGAAGCCAAAAAGAGGTTGAAGAAAGGGGACAGGGTGTTGATGATAAGCTTCGGGGCTGGTTTTAAATGCAACAGCTGTTTGTGGGAGGTTCTAAGGGATTTAGGGGATGGAAATGTGTGGAAAGATGAAATTGACAGGTACCCACCAAAGACATTGGTTAATCCTTACATGGAGAAGTACGGTTGGATCCAGGATGAAGATCCTAGCACCTTCAAAATTCCAGAGGACTAAAATTCTAGAGAGGCAAAAAAATAATAATAAGGAAAATAGAATCAATTATCATTTTTTTTTTCTTCCCCATACCCTTTCAAAAAGATCACGGCTCCTTTCATTTATGGTATACTACAAAGTTCTTAGATTGTTAAATCCCATGGTGGATTCATAACCAATAAGATGGGCAGCTTCAAACAATGAGAAGTTTGTCATATCCTATTGGAGAGCTGGGTTTTTTTTTTTTAGTTTTTTTTCTTTTCCTTCTTGATTGGTACTCCTTTATTGTTGGATTTTGAGGGTTACAGTTTACAAAGTAGAGCTTTAAGCCTTTATTATATTTTTGTTAGTAATAGTCTGTTCCACGCACATGCTGAAATACTGCTTTTTTTTTCTTTTTTGTTGTTAATTGTTGATATGTTTCATGCCAAAACATTTAAGATCATCCATCGAGGTCCAGTATGGATGATAATATAAAAAATACAATACCAGATGTCATGAAATGTTATAAATTAATACATCTCATAATAATAATAATAATATGCTCAAAAAATTAATTTAGAAGAAAAAATATCATGATCTTGTCACTTGATCTTCATGAATTAATTAATGAAAGAGGGTTACAGAATTTATTGCTCTTTTGAATTCGGATTTATGTAGTCTCTTCCATCCTTCCATTTTTCTCTTCATGCATCAAATTTACTGTTTTACAAACTTTGTTTTACCACAATCCAAAATTAATTTGGGGTGAATGATTTTTTTTTTTTTTGTTTTTCATGAGATTTTTCAATTAGGAACCACTTAGAGTATGATGGAAATTTATTTTCTTTCTTTTTCCTTTAAAGTGCGTACTCTCATTCCCTAGTAACGAAAAAAAATTGTCTAAATAAGAATAGTAAACATATGAATTTTAGAAAACTGAAACAAATGCTGGCCATGCACACTTTAAGATGTGATTAGTAATTAAGAGGCATTATTGGAGTGCATATAAGTAAAAAAATATGAAGAATTTTTTTTTTTCAGTGCTCTTAAATTTGGACTTAAAAATAGATAGTGTTAGCTGAAAGTTATTCATTAATTGCTCTCTTCATTTTGATTTCTCATCAACAATTTTTCAATTAAAGCCCTTTCCTGTTTCTTTGCTTTCTGATTACTTCACATCAATGATGATTCATTGAAAGTAAAATTCACGAAAAGTACTTGTGTTCATGTATCAATTAAGGAATAGAATTGAAGAAACCTTCAAAATAGGTCGATTTTCTTTTTTTATTTATTAAAAAAAATTCCACTCTTCAATTAATGGTTTTTTTGTTTGGTAAATTTAACTGTCCTCACCATTCCCGTGGTCACAAATAAAAGTTTGACAGCTGCAAATGCCAGCCAGCTCCAAAATTCTTAATGATAGCAATAAATCATTGGTCCCTAGTTAACTTAGGAACTAGCAAGTCATAGTGGTCCATGGCCACCTTTTACCCTTAAATGCACCATTGATGAATTGGTCAATTCAGCCAGCCATGGCTCCATGTTTCTGCACTGCACTTTGGCCTTCATGGCTCCATTGATGAAATGTACTTTTCGTCACCCCCATTTTCAATTGTACATGGAATTAACACTCCAACTGATCTCTGTGATTCTACCTGTGATAAAGAAAGAGATCAAGTAATGGAGAATTTAATGGCCTTTGCCATTGTTGTGATTGCTACTGACAATAAAACATTTCCTTTGGCAGAGACAACATGAGAACAAATATGAAAAAAAAAGAAAAAATTCCTTAATTTCTTCCTGATCTCTTTAAGGCCAATGACATTTTTCTCAGCTCAAAAAACTTACCTCCAAGAGTCTAGAGATGAAGTGAAGACTTGGGTATCTATATATTATAAAATGATTGCTCACCTAACAGGCAAAGGTGGGGGTTTAACAAATAAAAACCCATTTCTAAAATCACTTAATCTACCAAACACTTAAACAGTAAAAACTATCAATCAGCGTATGTCTGCTGAAAATTTTTCAGTGCTACCTACATGGAACAATAATATTTTTAAGCTGTATATGATTCTGAATTTTCAATTCCTTAATCCTGCAATCTTCTCTTGGCAGAAAATTTTATTACTACTACTTTATTAACCTTCATTCTTTCTAGCTAAGAAAGGAAAGAAAGAATTGAAGGAAAAAATCGAAGAGCTTTTTTCTCACCCAAAGTTTGTGGCAAAAATGTTGGTCCATGAGGAAAAGCCAGACCCTGATGTTAGCAGAAATGATTAACATTTTCCAAAGTTATGACTCCAGGGGAGAAAAGGATTTTTCTTCTAAAAAATATCAATTATTTTTGTTTTGTGGTAGTGGAAGTGTGGATAGAAGTTGTCAATAGAAAGAGACTAAAAATAATAGAAAGGAAATACGATCAGAGATGCCACAATCCCAAACCCCACACCCACCCACCCAAAGAAGGTATAACTAGAAAAACAAGCGTTCTGAACGATCAAGAATTTATAAGGTTCTGCAGTTTAATCACGTTCTAAAGCTAGAGGCCAATCTTTTTCATCTGGTCAATTTGTGAAAGTCTGAGGAAGCATTAATTTAATATAGCAGCCGCCACCAAGGCAGTTGCATTTCTCATCGGTATGCTTATATATTCATGAAGCAGCCAAGCTTTTCCATCTTTTTTCGTCAACCAAAATATTCTTTTTTCAGTTTAAACTAGAAATTATGACGCCTCGCTGGCTTGTTAAATTAATAAAAAGAACACTCTTTACTGCATTACATACTCACGTGAAGTTGTCCAATGTATGGTTGTGATCAATTAGCTGTATTTACATAACGATAGACTTCACCATAAATTTTTGGAGGATTTGGACACAAGCAATTTAACATTAATGGCCTTCAATGTGGATATTAACATACAAATTATAATCTAGTGTTTCATAACTATACCAAGAATATCCATATTTTTTCTTCTTCCTCTCTGACGTGTAATTAGATTTGTCCACAGTTTGAGCTAAATCCGCATTATGAACTTAACTCAATCGGGTGATGTAAATTTTAAGTTTGGCTTGGATTATTATTTTATTTATAAAAATTTTATTCAATTTTAAAATATATTTAAAATATTTAAAATATTAATATAGTAATACTTTTTAATATTTTAATTTTTAAGTGTGATCAGGCCTATCCTGGCTGGGACTTAGTCACAGATTTAAAAGTGGTTCATGAATACCTTCACGTACAATCTTGGTTGCTATTTCTTAGCTACACTAAAAGAGTCGTTGCATTTTTCTTTGGTTTGGTAAAGAAGTTGAGAAATCTGATCCGAAATTAAATAGTACTATCATGTGTTTGACATGTCTCTAAATATAAGAATTAAAATCCCAAGTTTAATTCTTCTTTTTGGAAAAGGATTATGAAGCCAGTGCATGTCAACTTTGCTTAACACCCTTGAGTTATCAGAGCTAAGCTTGGATATTGCTTAAATGTTGCTGATGGAGTGATGTTAATAAGCCCTTTAAAACAGACTCCTCTCTTAGTATTTGGGGCTCAATCAACCCTTAGTTTGATCTTCCCTAGTGCGAAGCCTTAGTTGATTCACATGTTTTTGGGTTTCAAGTTCATATTCTAATGCAACAAATTACTTTGATGATTATGAAAGCCCAAGGAGTTAAACTTGTTTGTGAAAAGATTTTGCCAGGTCCAGAATGCAGGAGCTCAGCTGCACCCAAAATTATAGGACCATATCCAACTATGTTTGGGACTCAGAGCCCATCATTTTGAAAGGATCTCTGACACTCTAATCCAAGTCTTGATACCAAGTAATGCTCATTTTACACCTTTTCTTAATCCCAACAGTGTCATTATGAGATTGATTACAGATTAAAGATACTGGGATTTGATTGAGACTTACCATTTCATGGATCCCATGCCATAGGAATTGGATGCAATCTTTAACGTCAAAAAGCAACAACAAGAGCACAACTAAAAAAAATGTGCTTAGGTTGTCAAAAAAAGGTTCTCTTCAGACAAATATCTGATTGCTGACAGGATAAAAAATCTGGTATAATCACATTTGCACCTTTAAAACCTGAATCAACTTTCATGTTGCAATTGAAGCACTGATGTGAAAAGAAGAAAATAAAATCCAAGGCTACCTTTAGGAGGTGAAATCGAATAGTCGTGAATTTTCATTAAAATTTCTCAAAATGGAAAAGGTAGGGTGTAATGGGTGCTCTCCTCTTGCTTACAAGCTTTTATTCTCATGCCCTTTTGGTCTGTCTCTGCCACAGGTTATAACATCTCTGTCTTATTCTCTTTTGCATTTGTATTAGCCTTCATTTTTCATTTATTATGAAATTATTTGTTTGGTTTGGTGGATGAAGCTGTCTGTGGTTTTTGACGAATCATATGATAGAATTCCTCATTCAGACATGAATTTGGAGAATTCCATTTCTGAGGTAAACTTAAAGTTTTGAAGTTTTTGAAAGTCAAGATGTTCTTTTTTTTCTGTTTTTTTTTACCTCTAATGTTTTATTTTTTTTGGTTTGCTTAGATATGGGATCAGAGGGTTCAGAAAAATGAATCTTTATTCAATGGCAAGAAATTTAGGGTATGTTCTGACCTTATTTACCTCTTATGTTTGTTTTTTCAATGTAAACTTTTAGGGTACTCTTTTGAGGTGCAAGAAAAGAAAATTTGATCCCTTTTCTGTAATGAAGTATTTTATAAACATGATAAACAAATGTAAAATATGAGAAAACCAAGAACCAAGATGATCATGCTTCACCATTCACAAAGTTATTTCATTTTGATAAATTTTGTTTTGAATTAGCATTCGTCATCATTGTTGGCATTGTTTATAATTTTTTACAGTATGGAGGATATAGTCAGAAGAGTGGAGATGGATCAAACGAAGAGTCATTTGTATGCCTCCACCTTGGATTGACAGATTATAGGTCTCTGTTTCACTCTATTTGTTTATGCATGCATTTCTTAACTTACTAATTCTGCATATGCTCTAACTGCACTATCTTTTCAAATGTAATGACTTTATCCACTCATTTTGGTAGCCTAACATATAACGCGAGTGTTTACTTATATCGTATCTTATTGATGTTCTTCTGATATAATAATGATTCAATAACTTCTACTTGTTACCAGAACTTTTGTGGGTACAAATTTGAATCCTTTGTGGGAAAAATTCTTGGTTGCATCAGAAGGTATCTCAATGCAAATTTATAATATTCACTGCAGATAAGCTCTTCCCTCCTTGTTCTTCTTGTTAGCAGTTAACACAAATTGGTATATAGTATGTTGCGTCTTACATATTCACAAAATACTCTGCTAACAATTTGGTTGTGTCCTAAAATAACATAGAAATGAAACCGTTGAAATTTTCTATTTTCTACTAAAGATAATCACCAAGAAATCAATTCCCCAATGAAAGGTATCAATCACTACTATTCATTAATCACAAAATACCTTGTGCTGCTGAAGTTTTATACAAACAAAGCTACAAACCTTTTGATTGTTGTACATGTGATTCTGTATCTCTTGACCATTAGCTTTACTTTTCTGCAGATGACTCAACACAGTGTCAACACACCTCAAGCCCGGTAGGTAATGGTGCAATTGTGGAGACATCTGACAAGAAAATATTGGTGCTGCAAAGAAGTAATAATGTTGGTGAATTTCCTGGGCATCTTGTTTTCCCAGGAGGCCACCCTGAGGTAATACTTTTTGATAGCTAGTCCCTGTTATTCTTTCGCAGAAAAATTAATAATACCAAGTTTAGCTGCATTTATTGGTGTATTTCTACTTTTCTTTGGTCCGACAGCCTCAAGAAGTTGGAATAGAAACACACAAATGCAGCAAGGACTCAAAAGATTATGAGCTTGTTAATAAAAGGGTTTCTGAAGAGATGTTTGATAGTATTATTCGTGAAGTTGTTGAGGAAATCGGAGTACCAACTACATCCCTGGTAAGTGATAAGTCACTTTTGTGTTCCCGTGGTTGTGAAATTATGGTTAATTTTAATTGTCAAAATATCTGGAATGCAGAGCTCTGCTAGTCATTTCTTTGATCGACACAAAATAAATGTTTGAACCTCGCAACTGTTTAGGTTTGAAATTCAGAATAGGGGAAGTTAAATATCTGGTCCTTGATATGAGACCCTTGTTTCAAACGATATACATTTCGTCCAAATTGGCCCTCATTGTTGTAGCATTATTTTGTTAACAATAATGACATTTTTCCCATCAGAGATGCTAGTCTGTGTTCCCAAAAGAAAAAGGGAAAAACCCCATCATAAATTCATCTTCAGACAGTTGAAAAATGACTTTGTTATGTTCACATGGCTTTCATCCCGTTGTCATTATTGAATTAATAGCTTATTTCTGTCAAAGAAAACCATATTGCTGGCCCTAGTTGCCTTCCTGGTTTCTATTGCAATGCATTTTCCTTGATAATTGATTTTCTTGTTCATTCTTAATTATTAAATTCTCTCTGAAAAATATTTGATATGGCTTTTGGTTTTCTTCTGCTGGCAGTCGGATCCACTTTTTATTGGCATGTCTCGTAGGGTTTTGAATGTTAGACCAGCTATCTTTTTCTTTATTAAATGTAGTCTCGAATCAAAAGAAATTCAGCAACTGTATTCTAAAGCACAAGATGGCTATGAATCCACTCAACTTTATACAGTCTCACCGGTCAGTCTTTCCCTTTTTCCTTTCATCTTTTCTTTCAAAATGTTATAACTTGATTTATTTTTGCTGAAATTACTGGTTTTTTTAATTAAAAAAAAAAAAACTACAAGTCAAAGTCTTGCAAATACTTTGGTGGTGTTCATGGTGGCACAATTTTTTGGTGTTGTGGTCATTAGTGCTCTTGTGGTGATGTCAATGGTGTAGTGAAACTTTTGGTAGTGGCTGTGTCATGGCATGCATCAGGAATCCACTGGTTGAGATTGCAGGGTAAGGAGGGGTTCAATGGTCAAGTATGGTAGGACCGTAAGTTGATTGGAGTGTTTTCTTCCCCTCTAACCCCCTTTTGTCCCCTGATTGGGGCCATGCTATAGTAAAAACCATTTGTTTTCAAAAGTTGAATATACAATTTTTCATGCTGAGTCTTCTAGGATTGAGTAAAAAATGCCAACTAAAAGCTTTCGACGCTATTATTGATAGTTAATAAATTTATTTTCTTCATTTATCTTTAAACATGTCACTGCATTTCGTTTTTCTGTTTATCAGATTGAACTAGATAGTTTGACATCAAAAATGCCTGGCTGCCATCAAGGTGGGTTTGCTCTCTATAAACTGATGGTTGAAGCCTTGAAGAATATCTGATGATGGTTCAATGCTGCTGGTCTGTTGAAGATTTCACCTCTTTATTTTCAGTTTCTTCAGTTAGTAATTTTTGGAAGAAATGTTATATTGCTAATACGCTTGCTTAAGGACAAACTACGGCTATGCAGCAAATGCATCACTCTATATATTTCTATCTTAATTTTGCTATTTGATGTCGAAGCAACATTCTATCAATAAATTTTGATGAAATAATATCATTTCAACTGCTTTCAGTGAATTTCCAAGCTAGTTCCAAGCAATCCGGTGTTTGTTCAATTAATTATGGACATTGAATAGATGCATTTTATATAGCAGTCTGTCAGAATATATGAACAATACAAGTTTCCTTGGATCAAGCTGAAAGTAGAAAATCAGAGGAGTTATTGCTTCTATTGAGGGGATTTTCCTCTGTTGGACTTCAGACTTTCATGTGTGATCGCAAACAGTTCCAGCTTTTCTGGGAAAAGTTTTAGGGTACTTGAGGCATATTGCATTTAACAAACATAACATATCTGGAATAGGTTAACGTGATCAACTTTCTTTGGACCAGAAAAATTCATTCTAGAGTAGTTTGCTGAAGGATGGCTTCTGTCAAGAGGAGGGTTTAGGGTTGGAGTTTATACAGATTGAAACCCTCCATATATTTCTCCTTTCATCTGATCTCCAAGCTACAAACATTGTCATTTAATTTTGTCACCTAAGCACCTTTCAGCAGGGTCCTTTCCAAGTCAAAAAAATCATCTGTAGGAGACTTTTATCAGATATATATCACTCCAGTTCAATAATACTACAAAATTTGACCATTAAAATGGTCCTTTATCAGCTACCTCTCCCAATATAGTGAGTCAAAGGTCAATAAAAGCTGGTCATTATCGAAGCAATTTATATATTTAAGTATACTACTATATCAGTACATCTGCCTTAAAGAATAACAGCAACATTATGTGCAGTGGCAGTCATTTAAGCAAAGACACCACCACACCAAACCCAAAGAACATAACCATGTCTTGAAACAGCACGTGCACGGTGGTTCAGCTGACTGGCTGATTCCCATTTGTGCTGGACCCAATTTTTTTTTCATTTTAACCATGTGAAGAGCCATGGGGGTGGCCTTGTTTTGGATTATACAATGGCTCCATGTGAATTAATTCTATATTTTACTTCAATTTGCTTTAAGCATAAAACCCAAAAGTTTGAGGCTTTTTATGATTCCTTCAATGCTAAGCAATCGCTTTTCCCTGTGTATTGATTGTAAAAAAAAAAGGTTTTGTCTTATGCTGAACACCACTGGCTTTGTTAACCTTTTTGCTGCATTAATCAAATGTATATAATTTGTTTATTCAAATAATGGATCAATTAATAAAATTTTTTAAATGTTAAAAAGATTATTTACTATTCAAGAATATCTTTTCACTCTTTCTCTTCCACGCAATGCTTTTTCTTTTTTTTTTTTCTTTTTTTTTTCAATTTGATAAGTTATAGGCTTCTCTTCTAGTAACTATTTTATGCTTTGATTATTAATGTTCCTTTCACGTTTAACTTCACCTATCCATCTATGGCTTTCTTAATCCTCTATAATTGCCCCCAAACCTACTTTTTATTCAAATGGAGATGGCATAACTTAAATTAAGATATATTTGTTTTTATGATATTATTAAAAATGTTTGAGCTTTATTTAATTTTATATTAAATTTATCTCATTATTTTTTGATTTTTGATTAATTTACTTATTTAATTATTCAAAGATTTTTATATTCAATATAATTGATTTTATTATACTCTCATTGTTCTATTTTCTTTGTCTATATATATTTTTTAGAATATCCTAAAATTATGCCTTTTTTTTATACATTTAAAACTCTTATTTTTATATATTAAAATTATTTTTTATTTTTGAGTTTAAAAATTATGAAAATTTAATTTTATAAAAAAATTTAAATTTTAATATTAAATTATTAAAATCAAAAATTTTTTTCTTAAATTTCATAAAAATTAATACATGTAATAAATATTTTGACAAAAAATTATAAAAATATAAAAGTTTGAGACAAAGTAGTAGGTGAAGAAGCACGACTCTTTTATTTGCTAAAATTAAGGCTAAATCAATCTAGCGTAGGATCCGAAATTGAAGGAATCCTGTTGGTTTTGGTCCTTTTTTTGGTATAATATATGGTTAGAATTAGAGTCCGTTGTTACCTGGTAATGGGCAAAATCACAATGGTGGTGCCATTATTGGTCGGGTATTTGTAACTACAAGGCGTGTATCAGTGACAGCGCGTGGGGTTGGAGTGAATATTGAATGGAATTAATTTGGGAATCTTGTTTCATATTGAGTGGTCACTAACATGGGCGTTCGCGAGTCCGTCCAAAATTGCAAACGTGGTCTACCGCGTGGATCCACGTGTGGTCCCATTGGCTTTTGAGCGTGGTCAGCTTTGTGTTACTTTTAATATTCACGTTCGCAATCATTATGACAATTTGAATACTAAAACTTCACTTGTAATTGACTAATGATTAAGCTTCTATCAAATTTTTTTTTTCCTTTTTTGGCCTTTCAATTAATCTTTTTTTTTTCGACATAAATCAATTTCCATGGTTTTATTGAGTTTTCACCCACACTTTTTTTTATATTAATATCATTTTTTCTTGTAAGATGATCTTTTATACAAAAAATAAAATTTATTTAAATTTAGAAGATAATTACTGTACATTCTTATAAATTGTATTTGGAATATATGATTGATTATTATTTGAAATCCATCAATTAAACATGATTTATAAAAAAGGAAAAAGTTTAAAAAAACTTTAAATTAAAATTCAATAATTATTTAATTTTTTATTTTTATTACAATTAATTAAATTCTCAAATATTTATTTGGTGAAAATAAATATTTGTTAAAGGAAAAATAATAAATTATTTCTATCTAATCAAAGGTTTAATTAGATAAAATTAGATGTTTAAGGATTTAATTTGGTGAAAATATATGTTTAAGAGTTAAAATTCAACTAATTTGAAATAAAAGATTCATGACTTAATTATATATAATAAAATATTAAAAATTTAAGTGATTGTTAAATTTTTATTTGATGGCTTTTTTACTCTTTTGCTTTTGGAAAATACTGAATTTTGATTGAGTTGTGTTATTTTTTCCATAAATTTTATTTCAAATCTTTATATTTCTTAAAACGACATTTAATTATTGAATATATTAAAGTATAGATATATTAATTTGGATAAATCAATTAATTGATAAATAAGATATTATAATCAAACTAATAATTAAATATCATGTCAAGTAATATAAATATTTAGAATAAACATGGTGGGATGAACAATATTTTTTTAATTTTAATTCTAAGGATACATTTCTTCATATTTATCTAGTTTATTTAAAATTAAAACCATTATAATTATGTTTATTAATATATTATTAAAATTCCATTTGATTAATATGCGTTATTCTTTACTTATTATTTACTTTTTTAAAAGCAAAAATAAAATAAAAAGAGCATCAATTAAAAGGAACCTAAATAAAATGATGATTGATTCAGAAGCACATGGGCGTGAAGAATTCTAAACCGACATCCTTTCACACCCTTAACCATATTTTTTCAAGATATCCAATAGAATAACTGAAAGAGACTTTGGACTTGCTATTCAAAATTTTGCTTTCTTAAAAAAGACTTTGCTATAAGTATTTCTTATATATTACTTGGAAGACTTTGGCTTTGCTATAAACGCTGACGTGACAAGCTACTTAAAAATATATAAAAATATAGAACAAAAATTTAATAAAATTATTACTTCAATTCAGATAATATAATTATATTACTTAAAATTTTAATTAATTATTGCATATTATATGAAATAATTAAATAATAAGACGTTCTATATAGATGCTGTTGGTATGCTAATTTAAGTCATATCTCCTTTGAACATCTCATGTGACTTTATCCCTTTTCTCTTCCATTTAAAATATAAACAATTATGAAAGAGCTAACCACCGGTCAAAATTTTCACTTCATTTTGCAGCAATACTATAGTTGCAATTTATTAAAAAAGGGCTTCTTTGAAGTAATATGTAAGTTTGCATATTATATTTGAATTTGATTATTAAATTAATTAAAAAAATTTTCAACAAAAATATAATTAGTTATCAGTGGGGCATTGCTAAATGCATCTTTATTTATTTCTTTACACTTTAAATTTTTTTCAAAAAAAAAATTTATAAATAAAATTATTTAATTACTTTTTTCATAATTTTATAGAGTTTTTATAATTTTTTGAAGAAGTTATTAAATTTTTTTGAAAATTTGATTTTTCAAAAACGTATTTTCTAAAAAATTTATAAATTTTCAAATTTTTGTTTATGAAAAATTATATAATTTTTTAGAAACATATTTTCGAAAATTTATATAAAAATTAATTAAATAATTTTAGTTATAAAAAAAATGCATTTAGTAGCACTTACTAATTATTTGTTGCAAATGATCGATTCTTCGATCTAGAAGCTCTTGAGAGCAACAAGTGGCGTTTATGACATTCAAACGACAAGATAGGCGCGTGGTGTTCTGTTAATTCCGTTGGTTTCTTAAGCCAACGTTGCTCTTGTTCTGCCTACACTTAAGCTTTAGTTGCTTTTTTCTCCCCTCAAATTCTTTCGATTCTCAATTGAAAAAAAAAAAAAAGAAAAACATTGTCATGATCAGCACTTTTACAAAAGTCTCTCCTTTATTGGTTAGATTGGCTTGTTTATAGTTTCTGGGGTCTGATTTTAGTTTCGCATGAAGTTGTAAATACATGAGATTTTAGATTCTTTTCTTGTTATTCCGATTGAAAACAGAGAATTCGATTCAAAATGGCTTTCTGACATATGGGTGCTTTGGTTTTTGATGAATGAAAGCGAAAGTAGCTCCTCGCCCTTAAACTTAGGTAATTACTATCATGCTTTTGTGGTTCTTCATTTTCTTGTTCTTAATTCAATTTTATGTTTTTTTTTTTTAAATGAAGGATAAAGATATGAAAAAGGTACAGAAAGTTGATGTTTTGTTTGATTTTGGTTTCTTTTTTTTTTTTATGGTTTAGTTTGGTTGGAGAGCTGTTTTCTTATAATATTCATTGAAAAAAAAAGGTTGCTTTATGTTTTAAGAAAGCTGAGGATGGATTTTTGTTATACTCAGGCATATAATTTGGGATGCAGGAGACGCAGAACCAGACATTGGAGGAAGGGATCAAGCTCCAAAGTATTGGGATCATTGAGATCAAGAATTATTTAGAGTCTCATTTTATTAATCGGTTTGGATGAATGATAGTTTTCGTAGATGAAACATGCCAATTTTGATCCAGGGGTATGCGAAAAGATGAAGAAAAGAAGATCCTTCAATTCATAATTAAAGTCGTGCAAAGGTGAATTTTTGTTTTGATCACAATGGAGGCACCAGCAACTGAGCAGCCAAGTGTTCCTGCTCGTAGGAAAAAGATGACCAAACAGTTAACAGGAAAACGTGATGATACGCCTCTACATTCTGCAGCAAGAGCTGGAAATCTTGCTGTGGTGATAGAAATCCTTACAGGTACTGGGGAGGATGAACTGAAGGAGCTGTTGGCTAAACAGAACCAATCTGGTGAAACTGCCCTTTATGTTGCCGCCGAATATGGTTATGTTGATTTGGTTAAGGAGATGATTAACTATTACGATCTTGCTGATGCCGGGATCAAAGCTAGAAATGGGTTTGACGCATTACACATTGCTGCTAAACAAGGAGATTTAGGTATGTTCCTGATACATGAATTTTATGTGTTTCCAATTAAGACAGTTATTTTTGGAGGTGAACCTGAGGTTTTTGTATGGCCTTGCTGCAGATGTATTAAAAGTGCTACTGGCGGTCCATCCAGAATTAGCTATGACCGTTGATTTATCAAACACCACGGCTTTGCACACGGCTGCAACACTGGGCCACGTAGAAATTGTGAAATTTTTATTGGAGGCTGGTAGTAGCCTGGCTACAATAGCAAGGAGTAATGGTAAAACACCATTACATTCTGCAGCAAGAAATGGGCATCTGGAGGTTGTAAAGGCACTTTTGGTTAGTGAACCTGGGATTGCACCAAGGACTGATAAGAAAGGGCAAACTGCACTTCACATGGCAGTGAAGGGTCAGAATCTTGAAGTGGTGAAGGAATTGATCAGGGTCAATCCTTCATTGATGATAAACGTGGTTGATACCAAGGGAAACACAACCTTGCATATAGCTACGCGGAAGGGAAGAGCTCAGGTACATCAGACTTTTGCCTTTATCAATCAGTTTAGACATTTATGTCTTTGCCCTGCAAATGGGTCAGTGGCACTGTTTCACCTAAAATTTTGATTTTTTGTTAACTGAGTTAAATGAAGGCACAGCTAATTGGCTACTCTAATGTTTAATTTTGGGTTTCTATTGAACCAGTTATGTTCATTCTCTGTCTCCTTATCTCCCTCTGTCAGATTTTGGGTTTAAATCAGATTTACAATTTAGTCTCACGTTGTTGTCTCCTTGGACATAAACTACCTGCACTGCCTTGTTCAATTTATATGCCGTTCTTAAATGTTAGAGCAACACAAAGTTGTTTCTGATAAAATAGGTGGATTGTTAAAAGATTTTATTGATCAGTGATTAATAAAATGTTAAAACCATTGTTTGGAAACTTCACACCAGCCCCTCATTGCTGAACAGTGCATTCCATTTAATGGTAAATAAATCTGCTGGCTGCTGATTAGATGGCTTATCCTGTGTGTATGAGATTAACAATTATGAATTCTGATATTTGGATGATTGCACACCTAGGATGAGCATCTTTTCTCTGAAAGAATCCATTTGGTCTTTGGTATTATTGTCATTATTATTATTAAGAAATATGCTTCTGATTATTGGTTCTGCACCTGCTGGTTGACTTCTTGACAAAAGCCTGAATTATCTCACTATTTGCCAAAAGTTTAATTGAACTAGTGGATTGATATGTGTAAAAGTCAAACTACTTGTAATTTTAAAATGACAAGAATATTATTAGGATTCTAAGATTAGACACTGCTTGTTTCCACAAATGCTGTGTAATCTTGACAATTTTAGATCCTGATGAGTTCACAGATTTGCCAAATGTGCAGCTGAATCTGTAATGAACCGGTTTTGAGGCATGGGAATGCTAATATGCCATATACGGCAACCTTTTCAGCAAAAACATTGAATGTATGCTCCTCCATAATATCTAGTGGAGGATCATTTGAAATTCCTTTGACCAAAGCATGAGAGAGCTTTTGTAACAGAAAATCTGTAGTTCTTATGACAATTGAGATATAGTCACAATCTTCCTAAAACAAGGGGTTTAATTGCAATCTATGAATTTTAACTTTAAGATCAGAAGATTTTTCATAAAATCATTAGGGCAGGGAAGAAAAATTTCTTCATTTATGGAGTCAAAAAAGGAACAAGGCAAGATGCTAATATAATCTTTGTTTTGTGCAGATTGTTAAGTTGCTACTTGGATACAAAGAAACCGACACAAAAGCTGTTAACAGAAGCGGTGAAACTGCCTTTGACACTGCTGAGAAAACTGGGCACCCTGAGGTTGCAACTATTCTGCAGCAGCATGGAGTTCAAAGTGCTCGAATCATCAAGCCTGCAGCATCAAATTCAGCCCGTGAGTTAAAACAAACTGTGAGTGATATAAAGCATAAAGTGCACAATCAACTAGAACACAGCCGCCAAACTAGAAAGCGTGTGCAAGGCATTGCTAAAAGACTCAACAAAATGCATGCTGAAGGTCTTAACAATGCCATAAACTCCACCACTGTTGTTGCTGTCCTAATTGCTACGGTTGCCTTTGCTGCCATTTTCACTGTCCCTGGCCAATATGTCGATGACCCGGATAATATTCCTCCTGGTGACTCCCTTGGGGAAGCAAATATAGCTCCAAAGCCTGCCTTTATAATATTCTTCATCTTTGATTCCGTTGCCCTCTTCATTTCTCTGGCAGTTGTGGTGGTTCAGACCTCAGTTGTAGTCATTGAGAGCAAGGCAAAGAAGCAGATGATGGCAATTATCAACAAGTTAATGTGGTTGGCTTGCGTGCTTATTTCAGTAGCATTCTTAGCCTTGTCATTTGTTGTAGTTGGCAAAGAGGAAAGATGGCTTGCAATTGGAGTGACAATTATTGGAACAAGCATATTGGCCACAACTTTAGGCACCATGTGTTATTGGGTGATTAGGCATCGGATTGAGGCTTCAAACATGAAAAGTATACGAAGATCATCAATGGGGAGCAGGTCACGCTCCTTCTCACTGTCTGTGATGTCAGATTCTGAAATTCTAAACAATGAGTATAAGAAAATGTATGCCATTTAATAAGACTCACGCCATCGCTAGCTCCCTTTTTCCCAGATGGCATTACGGATCTTTTGTCCTTTGATGATTAATTACTAAAATGTAAATTTCAAGCTGATCCTAGTTTTTCTTTTCTCATTCTCAAGATTTTGGTTATTCTTGGGCAAGAACAAGCGAAGACTAGTTGTTCTCAAAGGCAAATTTATGAGCGAGAAACTTCTAAGGGCAATGACAGCTATGCTACAGGGAAAGGGGTTATTCAAATGAGATGGATGAACCAATTGGACTGAGACCACTTTTTTTTTTTCTCTTGTTTCCTTTCTCCTCTTTGGACGCAGATCTTAATCATTGGTAAAGAATCTGAAGAAGAAAGCATACGCCATTGAGTGATGAGAAGCAGAGTTGGACCCCATGCAATAATGCAAATGAACAAAACGGAGCATTTACCACAAGACTTTCCCTGCTGACTGAAAATTATTAGAGAACAAATATCCGTACATCGACCTTCTGGTGGAAACCACAAGAAAATGTGGACAAATTTTGATGTTTGAAAAATATGGGAAATTGATGACTTGGGATGGCAAACCCACCCATAACCGGTGGGTTTTGATTCGATCGTATTGTTTAAGATCGATTTTTTTTTTAAATCAAATTTGGGTTGAATAATAATAAATTTTTTTTAAAATTAGATCGAAATTAATTTAGATAAATTTAATTTGATTTGATATATATTTATAAAAAATTATTTTTAATTAAATAATTTAATTTTATATTTATATTTTTATATTTATATTTATTTTAAAAATAATATTTTATTAATTTAAGAGAAGATAGAATCAAATTCCAAACGAATAAAGATTCATCGCGTTGCCATCCCTAAATTGGGCCGGAGAGTTCAAAGCATGATGAAAAATTTTGACGAGTTAATCAAATCAACACAAAAATAGAGCCTAGTACAAGGCTTAATAGGTTATGCATGGGATGCCTATAGGGGAATGAATTTCTGAACCAAAGAGAAGACGAAAAAATTTGGGAGGAATTTCCCATTTTAATGGAATAAAAACTGGAAAATTTTTTCCTCAAGTAGTTAATTTTAAATATTTCTGATAATTTTTTTATGAACATAATAGAATTAAAAATTTTAAATGATGAAATTTAAATAAAAAATGGAATTTCTATTTTTTACTCGAAATCAAAATAATAAAAATTGTAAAAACTCATTTTTAAAAAATAAAAAGGTTAAATAGGGGTTTCAGGGCGCATAACAAGAAAATAGGCCCAAGAAAGTTTTTATTTTCTTGCTTTTTTAAGGCCCAAAAACTTCAGCTGACAAACTGAAAATTTCTCTGTTCTTTTCGTTTCGTTTTGTTTCTTTTACTCTCTGTTTGCATCTAAACGTCAAAAGGGAAAGAAGATTTAAAAAAAAAAATTTAAAAAAAATTCTAAAAACTGCCGATCTTCGTTAATTGGAATAGGAAAGAAAGATGGATGATGAATTGCTCGAATTGCAGAGGCAATTCGAGTTCGCACAGCAGGCGAAATCGAGCATCCGATTATCGGAGCGAAACGTCGTCGAGTTGGTCCAAAAACTCCACGACCTTCGAATCATTGATTTCGAACTCCTCCACACTGTTTCTGGCAAAGAATACATCACTCCGGTAACTCTCTCTCCTGTTTGGTTACGGAGACAATATGAAGGAAAATAATAATAAGGACTGTTTAGTTATTTCTGGGTTGTATTATGAATTTTAACTGCTGTTTGGTTCCCATGAAAACCAAGGAAAATTGTTGGCTACGTGTTTAATATTATTTTGTTGCCATAGTATGTAATATTGGATTTATTACATGTGGGTTTTATTTTGAATTTTATGATTGTGATGATCTATTGTACTGTAGGAGCAATTGAGGCATGAAATTGCTGGGGTGGTGAAGACATTAGGGCGTGTTTCTTTGATTGATCTTGCGGATACCACTGGGGTGGATTTATATCATGTTGAGAAGCAAGCTCAGCATGTAGTTTCGGAGGATCCCAGGCTTATGTTAATTCAAGGAGAGATAATATCACAATCTTATTGGGATTCCGTAGCTGAAGAAATCAATGAGAGGCTGCAGGAATGCAGTCAAATTGCTCTAGCTGAGTTGGCTGCACAGTTACATGTTGGCTCTGAGTTGGTGGCATCTGTCTTGGAGCCTCGCCTTGGGACTATAGTAACTTATTTTTCCTATTTTTTACTTTTTTGACTTTGGGAAAATAGAGGAAGAACTTTTATGACAGTTTTGTTTTTGATTTTTTTTTCTATTTTGTCTGTTAGGTGAAAGGTAGGCTTGAAGGTGGGCAATTGTACACACCTGCGTATGTAGCTCGTGTCAGTGCCATGGTTCGTGGTGCTTCCAGGGGTATCACAGTTCCAACAAATTTGTCTGTTTTGTGGAGCACTTTGCAGCAACTTTTGCAAGAAATAGAAGGAGCCACTGGTGTAGCGGTTGAAGGTTCATTCTTCCAATCTCTTTTTAACAGGCTGGTTAGGGAAGGCGAGGTTCTGGGAACATTTCGTGCAGGAGTTCATTGGACTCCAACTGTATGTTACATGATCTTCTTATTGTTTTATGTTTATCTGAATTCACAATCACATTATAGAATGAACAAATTCTAATGGCTATTAAAATCCTCATTCATACTACTTTGTAACCTATTTTGTGATTTTGTTTTCAAAAGATCAACGTCAGTTGTGAAAACATTATGTAAGAGATTAAGTGGCACCTTCTAACCTAACTTTACCTAATAAAGGGTGGCTCCTTGCTATTTTTCTCAAGGTATCAATTTGAATATAGAATTGATGATTTTAATGGCAAGATACTTGTTTTTTAATGAATTTTTTCAATGCTCAAGTTAAAACGTATTAGTCTTTCAACATATAAGCTGCTTCAATCCTTTTTTTATTTTATTTTTCCTTGGTAAACTCTGAAAAACGAACTAAAGAAATAGTAAGATAGAGTGCAGAAATAGGGGAATATGGGGAGGGTGCAAGTTTATCTTCTGATGAAATCCAAGTTAATTGTAACATTTCCTTTTTCAAGTTTTTAATACTTAAGTGTGACCATGCAACAGGTTTTTGCTATTGCTCAAAAGGAATGTGTTGATTCTTTCTTCTCACAGGTCTGTTGCCTTACACTCTGAATTTGTTTTTAATCTTTGGATATTCAGATGCCTATACAGAGGTACCGCATGCCTTTCATGTGACGCATCTCTCAAGGCTGTTCATTCATGTAGTTTTGTGATGGTTCTGATTCTAAATATTCATTATGTCTCTCTTTCTGTAAAGTCTGTTATTTTCATGATCTATAGTTGTACAGCTGTATACAAGAAGGCAATAGTCAAATAAATATTTAGTCCTTGTAGTTTATTACACTTTTGTGTCTCTGGCCATGTAAATAAAAATAAATCTGTTAATGTTACATCATACGCATTTGAATGCATTCTAAGTTTTATTAACAGTTCCAGATTATTAAATGTCACTGCACATAATTGTTAGTTATATTGTATTTGAAAACGTCACTGACTATTATCACTAATTATGCCCTTTTGTTTGTTAGATAAGCATATTGCTGTATTATATTCCTCATTGTTTCGCTTTTGCTTACAGAACTCTTTGATCGGCTATGACGCTATGCAGAAACTTGGAATTTCCCAGCCCATTCAGTTCTTGCAGGTAATTTCATGCATTGAACTATTAACACAACTAACATCTTGTATGGTAATTACGCCACATTTGATGATTTTGTATGGTTTTTATTTAATTAAAATTTGGTTGTATGCTCCAATTTAGTCCAGGTATCCTGAAGGCATACCACTAGTTACAGCATTTGTTCACCCTTCAATGATTGAGATGTTGGATGCTGCTATTGAGGATGCAATTGAACGTGGTAGCTGGTAAGAACTACAAAAAAGCGTTCAATTGTTCATAACTAGTGCCCTTGAAAATTTTTCACTTTATGGTATTTAACTTAATCTTTTATTCTGAGATGGAACATTTGGAGATACTAAATGCTCATGAATATTCAGGAATATAGTTCTTGCAGATGACATTTAGATTAACATAAAGAATGTTTGTGAAGTTTTCCAGTGTGATCTTACTGCATTATGCATGTCAAGGTTGGTATCTTTTTACTTTCTTTTTTAATGGTCTAATTGGATTGAACACTGCAGGCTTGATTCCCTTTCTGTATTACCCACTTCCTTTGGAGCCCAAGATGCATCTAAGATTCTGTCACTTTGTCCTTCTGTTCAGTCAGCACTCAAGGTTACATGTTATCCCTTCTGTGTTTTATCATATACTTCATTTTTTTATTATCTTTGTTTTACGTGTAGATTTGTTTCATGTTTCTTTTCAGGCTAATAAGGCACTCATCATGGGGGATTCCTATTTATTTAGCAGCAGCTTTGTGAAGGTAGGACTTTTGAGATTAATTTTATTAAGTGTTTCAGATTAGTTATTGATATTAGTCTTTAGAAATGTTTTCTTGCCTGCCCAGAATTATTTATTAATATCAAAAGGAATTCCTATATCTACACACCATGTAAATTTACCAATAGCTATTCTAGCATGAAGTTTCTGAGTATGGTTGGCATATTAGATCTGATCATTGCAGTTTGCCTGCTATGAATTCAATTGAAAAACAAGTTAATGAGGAGTTGGAGATGTTAATTTTGGTTATTAATAGTTTTAGTTATAGCATCTGCTTGGCAGCGGAATCTGAATGGCAATCCAGCTGCTTTATGGAAAATTTATGAAGGAAAACTAATTTTATCTGTTGAATCAACTAGTTTTATATGTTGGATCTGAGGATGGAAAATTTTATGTGTTTAAAAGTTTAATATGTTATGGCTGAATAAATGTCTTTTGCTAAGGGTCCATGGTCACAAGCATTGTGATGCTGACATGTTAACTTATTTGGCCTTCAAGGCTTAACTTCTCAAAATAATCTATCTGCAATTTTGGGTTTTAATTTATATTCCCCCCCCCCCCCCCCCCCCTTTCCTTTCTCTGGCTAACTTTTCTTAGCCAGATTTAACACCCAACACTCACTGAGTAACATTCTTTACTTCCTTCTGCATTTGTTTGCATTTTAACATTATAGGTTTGGATACTTGAGTACTAATTGAAGTCTGCATGTATATTATGCCCTCTTTGATTCTCATGAAATTCGGTGCTCACAACTTGGTCTCTTTGTTGGTTAGGATGTCTATGATCGGGTAGAGAAAGAGATGGAAACCTTTAGCCATTCAGGGTCCTCCACTATAATGTTGAGTGATGATTCGCATCTGGTTAAGGAAGCTAAAGCTGGACAGGAATTAAGCAAGTCTTCAGAGCGATTTGAAACTGGTAGTGAGAGTGGCAACAGCAAACGTGGTACTGAGAAAGGACCGAAGAAGAAAAAGGGTAAATCCTCTGGGACAAAAACAGTGTCAGCTGAAGGTGATTCAGAAAACGAGGATTACATCCCCACCAAAGCTAAGAAAAACCAGAAGAAAGGCAAGGATACGTCTTCCTCTCAGGTTGCAGATTCAAGAAAAGGAGCTAAGAAAGACTCAATTAAAACACAGGAGGAAATTGTGCCTTCAGAAGAATGGTTAATGCAAAAGCTTGAAAT